TCATGCAGCCAAAAGAATCAAAATTACATGTTGAATAAAAAAATCACTGTACATCCATCATAATAAAAGTAGAATAAGCTATCTTCTTTCTTGAAGACAGCTGAAAAACAATATCCAATTAAATATAATTAAAATGGAAATTTGTTTGTAATAGAAGACTACGGATGTAATTTTTAGGCAAAACATTCTCTTCTTGAAAATCAGACTAAGCATAACAAACAGCTTTGATGACACCATTTTTATTAGAAAGAATAGGTGCACCGGTCTCAGAATAATGCAGTTGTATAAATTCTGAGTGGTTTGGTGATGTTACTGCCGCTACTGTTATGCAGTATCATTAAAATTAATGTGATGACATCTTTATCTTATTGCATGGGTGGATGCAGTGGTAGGTGTGTAGAAGTATAACAAGAAAGAATTAGGCAATGCTCATTTGTTTGAGTATAAAGAGGTCTCATCAAATCAGTCCTTGATACTTTTTTACTGCAGAAGTATAAAAAAAAGTATTGTGAGAAAAAAGCATATATATATTTCTGTAGAGCTGATTTTCATTAGGGAACTGCTTTCAGTGGCTTATGTCATCCTTAAACTGCACAAAATGAAAGAAAGTTCCTGGACAATCTTATGGAAATTCTTTATGGAAAGTAAGAAAGCAAATCTGAGGTTTTCAGATCCCTATTTTGGTGTGCTGTGTACTGGGCTTTATGTCAGGCTTTTGACAAAACTGCACAAAAAAACCCTGTTTTTTATCTGTTCCTTATTTCTCATTCCTCTCAAAGCAAGCAATTCATCTCTGTTCTCTTCATGACTAGTGCTTTCTTCTTACAAAGACAAGTTGTCTGTGATGATCTTTATTAGTGATTACAGCTTCACTAGGTTATATCTCTTGAATGCTGGAATCTAGATGTTTACCATATATTACAACTCTGTCTTAAATAAGCTTTCTATTCGAAAATTGGGGAAAGTCTTCCAGTATAACGGATGTGGCAGTAAATGTAAGACAACAGTTACTTTGCCTTTGCAAGCAGTTGCTTTAAATATTGGACTTAACTGAGTTATAATAACTTATTGTACAAGGTCCTGTACACTGTGGATCACACCCTGGATCATAAACATGTGTAAGGTCAGGAGACTGAGAAGTCTTCCTTCATCAGAAGTGTAGGTTGGCAGTGCTGTTGCTGAACAGGCTCAGGGCTTCAAGGCCCTCAGAGGTTCTCTAAAGGTTCTTTGAAGAGCCATTCTTCACTTACTTGTATATTTTGCCCTGGACAACAATAGTTTTTGTATCCAGCTCAAAATAAAGCTGAATGAGAAGTGTCTTCCCTTCAGACTCTGTGCCTTGAAGAAGAGACTTGGTTGATTATGTTCTCCTGTGCACCTGAACTTGTGCTCTTCTTACACACTTCTACCACTCTTACGCACTTCTACCACAGTCCTCTGAGAAGAGTGCTGCCCTCCCCAGGGCCGGTTATCATCAGAGCTGCTGCTGAGCACTCTTTTCCCAAAGAACTGACATCAGTGTCCTAAATCAGAGAGATAAAAGTCAGCAGTAGTGTATCTTGGCTCTGGGCTTTTGGATAAATGGAAAGACTTATCCAAAGTCAGTCAGTCCTGAGGGAGCCGGTGCTGGATATCATCCTGTCCATATACTGCCAGGAACAGTTGCAGACAAGTCCAAAAAAGCAGTGGGAAAGGCTGTTAATCCAGAGATCTTGCCTTTTTCTAGTGTGTAATTGTGAAAGAGATATGACATCCCTTAAGTAGGACTTTGTTACTAGTCTAGAGTTAGGAGTAGCTCACAGAAATCAGATTCAAAACAAGTACTCAGCTAACTTTACATGTCTTCTTTAGACTCTTTGTGAACAACAAACAGTGAAAGGAAACCTCAGAGACATAATTCATCCAACCTATCCGATATTTCTACTGTAGGATGAAATGAATTAAGACCTAGAAGCGCCTAACAGTGAGTATGAAGGGAGTTAGACGATACCTCACATGTCAGCATTGTAGCTGTCAGAATTTAGCTGAGGCTAAAGCCTTAGTTGTGTCAAGCTTGCAGACTTGAAAGTTAGGAAAGAATATTTCCAAACAAACTTAGGAATAATTATGATTTCTTTAGCTGCAAAGGAGAAGAAGAGAAAATCATATGAAACAATTTGGGATTTTTTTCATAGCTCTCTCAAATCATACAGAACATAGTAAAGTTTACTGTATGTTTTTGCTGCAACCTGATCTAAAATCAGATGTTGGAAAACTCTTGGAAAGGACAGAGGAACAGGTTCCCGCTGCAGGAAATGGAAGCTGCTGTTCCAAACAGCCTGTTTACGAGCCTTGTCAGGCCAGAGAACTGTCATAGCTATAATGGACAAAAACAGAAGATATGTCTGTATTCTGCTAAGTAAGAGGACCGACAAGCCAGTTTCAGCACTGGACCCCGCATTCTTCTCATGCTGAACTGCTGTCTCAGTCTTTGGCTGTTTCTTTCCAGAAGGCTCCAAAAAGAGACGGTTTTAAGCAGTGAGATTTGGCTGAATATTGACTATAATTTAGCAGTGTAGGTGCAGCCAGAGAGCCTAAAATGTGAAATAAAATGATACTACAGACAAATGGTACCACATACATCATCATTCAACCTGCCCCATGTAGGTGCAAGTTCTTCTTTTGTCCTTTAAGAGGTAACTACGCTAAGAAAGATGGGGCAGGGAACTGAATGACATACGTAAATATATGTGCTTAAATAACAAAAGGAATTGGATCAAGGTTAGCCTTTTAAGCTACATCATTCTTGCTGCTATGGCACCTGAAAATGGATCTCTGTTGTGATTAATGGAGATCTGAAGACCTTTGTGGAATCACGACTAGGGATGATAAAAGGAGCCCCCTCAGATTATCGTAATCAAGATAGTGTTTATGTGCAAATATAAGCTGAGTATTAGGCCTACTTTTTTCTCCTTTCATCTTTATAGACAGGTTGCTCACTTCTCAGGTCCCTCTGTTTCCCATTTTGCTGCACTAATGAGTTTTTAATGCAAAGGACAAGTGATTATAAGCAGTGAAGCAAAGACAGCCTTATAGAGCGAGACTGAGGAACTGAAGACATGGATCAGAGCTGTTCACCAACCTGAGATAAAAGAGAAATTCATGAAAACAGAGCCATATAGATAGCTTTGATTTCATTATCATTAGACAAGAAAGGACAAAAAATGGGATAGCTATAAAGCTGTTCAAACCTAGCAAGTTGCCTATATTACTGAAAGAGTCTATACACAAAATATTAAAATGATAACATAAAACAGGAAAATATCCTATTGGAATATTTATGTTCATACTTGGTTTTAACATAGTGCATGACCAGATAGCAGTCATGAAAAAGTATGAATATGTATTAAAGATTTTATTCATCGATGCTGTGTTGTGTTTCATTGTTAAGTATGGATTATTTGTTTGGATTTTCTCCCCTTCCATCTTTCCTTCTGAGTACAGATTTCGGAGACTGTATTTCTATGAATTATTTCATGGTTTATCAAATCTTGAATTACACACAAATTAAATATTTGATAGCTTTTATAGGATGCTTTTGTTTGGCAGATACATGTAACTAGTAATGATATTCACCACAGAAGTACCTAATTACATTTGAAAGAATGATTTGCATGCAGTATTTTCTGATCGCAGCTCCAAAGCTAAAATAGAAATTTAGCAGTGACAGGGGAGTAGAGCTGGAATGTTCCAGTCCTGCAAGAATTCTTACCATTTTTCCTCCAACTTGACATCAGGACAAAAATCAAAACCTCAGTATTGGGAGTGGGGGGGAGTGGGGAAAGTGGGGTTGGTGACAAGCTGATTATCTGAAGGAAAAACACAAAATTGTTCCTCCAAGATTAGGTCAATCATAATGCTTCATCTCAGCTTTGCTCTTATAAACCAGATTTCATTTTCTATAAGTATAAATTAAATAAAATACTAAAGTGAAACTATTTGCAAGGAAATATCCTTTTGTCAATAACACCATGATTTATCGGCAATATCTTTAATTTTGATTTTAATCTTTTATGGCAAAATCTTCAAATTGCTGACTAGCTGTAGCTAAGGGATACTTTTAGAAATTCTTCTAAGAGTTCTTAATAATAAAAGTACTTTTATTACTATGCAGTTTACTTATGCAGTCAGATTTTGTAGCTTTCTCAGATGCAGCGATCTATCCATTTAAGAAATGAGGAAACTAAGAAAGGGTTATTGAGTGTGTTGCCTAGAGGGACAGAAAAAATCCATGCCAGACTGGAAACAAGGTTTCAGAGTACTGCTTAAATCAGTGTCATGTCTTTGGTTGATAGATTTCTTGTCCAGTGCAATCCATTTTAATGCTCCACATTTTGTAGTTTAATTTATTTTGACACTGAAACTGAGCATAAGAATTGCATTAACATTTTGTTCTATTTTGCCATTCAGCTGTCTATAGCAAAGGTCCTCTGTCATGTTTTTGCCCTAGGTTAACATAGTAAACAAGATATATTTCAGTATCTGTATCAGTGAGTGATTTTTACCTACGTACTATGAATTTCCTGTTTCGTATTATGCTGTGGAGTAAATTGGAGCTTGCAAGGAGATGAATAATTAATCTTTCTTCTATTTATGAGAAAAATTTTTAGAAACATTTCAGTTTTTGACATGAAATGTTACCTTGGTCATTCTTTAAATATTTCCACAAAGTCCATAAACAGACTGCATCAAATATTACTCAAATTATGTAAGTGACTTACTTAGTTATAGATTAGCTCAGTGTTTTGCATACTGAACTTCTACTGTTCTTCAAGTTTGTAGGCTTGATTACATGCCATTAAAGACAAAGGGAAGCCAAATATTCTATAATTTTGATAGACTGGTGCATATGTTGAAAAATGTGCTTCAATAAACTGATTATGCAGGAATATCTGTAAAATATCCCTACCAAATTACCTTCTATGTGAATGTAATGAATTTTCTCATTTTACTTTGTTTAGGTCAATGGAACAGAAATTGAATATGAATTTGAAGAAATTACATTGGAGAGGGTAAGTGTAATTTCTTATTATAGGAAAAATATTTTCTGTAATGCAACTATTTATAAAATTAAAAATGTTTCTTCCACTATTTATCCTGTAATATCAAAATGTAAGTGATTGAACAGCATAAGCTTTTCATATTTTTAAGATGTTTCAAGGTGTAGGTATTTGCAGAACAGCATCCAGAATGCTTTCCTTCCTGTAACTACATCAGTGCTCGACTAGGTATTTGATCATTAGGAAGGGCCCGGGTGACTTGGTAACTCTCTTTTGATTGTGAATTGGAAGCGCAGAACCTCCTTGATTTCCTTGTATGGAGGCATGATAATAGAAGACAAGCAGTCTTAATTTATGAAATAAGAGTTACAAAAGATTTTTTTGTGTTCTAGTGACTATGCAAAAGCTGAAGACTATATCTGTGTGTAAAGGATGATATTTTTATAGCAGTCCGAATTGCATCAGCTGAACGCAGCACTGGCAGTGAAGCCTTGGTTAGCAGTGTTGTTTAAATGTAGCACAAAAAAGAAAGATATTTAAAAGTTTTATTGCATCGTATCTTCCTAGCTTTGGTTGATTTTCCTTGCTTTTTGGTTACATAACTGTTTTCTTTAGACTGCAGACTTTCTTTATCATAAGATCAAGACCAGATGGGCAGCATACTGTGTGAGCAAAAAAGTCTAAGCTTTGTCATATACTGTAGTGCTTTACAAGGATTGCTAACGGATTCAAAACTGTTATTGCTGAATTTCTTCAATATTCTACCAATATTCTGGTAATATGAATTTTTATCACCTTGAAGAAAACACAGTTAGGCTTCTTTCTACATAAAATATTTGAATACAAGGCCAGATTTATCAAGATGTGACTGACGCCATATGAACAGATGTCTGTAAGGTAGCAGACTACCATTAAGTTAGATACTTAGCTTATACAATTCATTGCACTTCTTCTGTGTGCTATATTTTTAATTGTCCAAGATAATGAATTTCATAATCATTCAACTCAAAGGGATACAAGCTTATATTCTCCTTGATTTGATCACTCAGGCAAATTATAAAAGACCGATATATCTTTTTACCACAGCCATTCTCTGTGCATTCTTATAACAGAAAATGTATAAGGTTATAGGCACTTTTATCTACTGTCTCTCAAGTTATTTGCGCATCACTAGTTATTCATTGGACTAGAGTTTCCAAAGGTCAGTGAACAGAACACATGCCTCCTGGGTGATATTCTGCAAACCACTTTATTTTGAATAGATGTGTAAGTTATCAGTGTATGTACTGCAGAACCAATGTGATTTGTATCTTCTCCACCTGTCTGATCCAGAACAGATAATTGGTTATTCAAAATATAATAAAGAAATTAAAGAAATTGATAAGCAATAGCACACAAAGCTACAGATTTTAATGGTGGATATATCAGTTGTTTTCTGGATGCTACTGAATCTGTGGCTTTTGATTATTACTGCCTGAAATGCTCTGTCACACGTATCAGTGTTTTGTCTCAAAGACAGCGTACTGTGTCTGCTGGTTTTTGTATGAGATATAAAACACAAGTGATTGCCTTTAAATGGCTGTCATTTATGATAGACTGAAAGCATTTTTCAAAGAAAGATATTCTCCATGTTGATTACCCATTTTCTTCCACAAAACGCCCTTTAGAAATTAGATGGAAAATCATCTGTCTGTATTTAATGGCAAAGCTGCAAAATGTATTACAGTTGCTGATGCTGAGAGATAAAAATCTAGTTTGTCCATGTCAAATAATAAACTTCTCATTTTAGTCTAGTTATTCAAGTTACAGGATTCTGCTTCCCAAAAATAATCAAAGGTTTCCTTCATGACATTTATCCACATTTTAACATAGTCAGAATAATTAAAATAAAAATTAAAACGAATCAAAAACAAAAAAATCAAAATGGCGATCAAAACCAAAAAATGGTTTAAGGTGTTATTAGGGCTTTTG